ACTTCTTTTAGTATGTCTAGAATAGCTATATTCATATACATTTATAAAAAGCTGTTATACATATCTAGGTAATGAATAAAAGTTTGTTAAAAAGGGATCTGTTAGTGTTACAACTTTGTTTGATGTCGAAAAAGCAGGGTAAAAAGTGGAAAAGCGGTAACGTTTGACGTTTCGTAATATGGGCGCCCTAGTTTCAATTTAAGTCACGCACCCAACAATCTTCGTCCAACTATATTATTAATGTTCACCATTTATAATTAAACCTAAAATTTAATTATCTTAAATTAACCCCTTTAAATAAGAAAGGATTATGGTAGCGCCTCGCTTAAACCACAGATAACACTTGTGCTGTATGATTTTGCTATTTTACACTGTGTTTATAAATTTTATCTGCGAATTATTATAATTAACTAGCTTTCGCTAGCGACTTCGTCCTCGTAGTGGTCGACATCAGACATCGTAGACCCCAAAAATAACGAAGTTTCATATAAATTTTCAACTCCCGTTATGCACCCTTAGGGGTAGAATTTTCAAAAATCCTTTCTTCTCTTAATTTTTATTCTCTCTAAAAATTTGTGCAAAATCTCATGCTTCTGGACCTAGCGGTTGCAGCTGTGCGTTGATCGATTAGTCAGTCTGTGGTTGCTTCTTTTATAGTATAGATATAGATTTAAGTAGAAAGATTAAAATGCCAAAATCCTGTATTTTAATGATCTGACTTAAAAATAGACAGACAGAATGACCGATCTAAGACAAACCGGTGGATATCTTTAAGTGAAATGAATCTACACAATATTTAAACACATCATCTATTATGATAATTTAGTAAAAATTAGGCACAGTATTTACTATTTAATTTTACTGACATTTAAAAAGTACAGATTTTAATCGGCAAGGCAAAAATAAAACTAAAACAACCGCATTTTTTTTAATTCGCTGTTTGAAGCAATTTACGATGTTAGTCCCGCTCTTATGAATACAAAATGTGTTTGTAATCCACTGTTAAACTAGGTACAAACTGGATGCGACCATGTCGATTTGGGAAATAAAAAAAAATTACGCTACCTATCCGTCCGCATAATCTGTTAACCGACCGCGATAAATGGATTACTAGTTACAGTGAAACCTGTTTGTTGATTAATACTTTATCAAATTTTGTTTTTGAAGATTGGATCGTTTAAAAAGTACCAACTACTACAACACGTGCCTAAATCTTGAGAAAGCTTTTTTGTCTAAATTTTCCAGCTAAGGTAAAGGCTAAAGCTTTCATTTATAACTTTTTCTCTCTTGGTTTTGAGTACGTTAGATTGTTATTTATCTAAATTGCGATAGCCGAATTTAAAATATACTCTTAAGTTTTTTACCAAATGTATGGCCGTTTATTGTTCTGTGACTATGGATGTTTTTTTATGGAAAAGGGGGCAAACGAGCAGACGGGCACTTAATGGAAAGCGCCTACCGCCATCCATGAACGCTTTCAACTCAGGAGGACAAACATGGACAATCAATGGCACAAATAAGAAAGAAGCATGCCTTTTCAAACACATAAATATTTTTCAATTCAGGCCAGCCATTTTCGAGTAATCGTGTTTGACATACATAGTAAAAGTAAAAGATCGTGACGAATTGAGAACCTGCTTTTTTTGAAGTGGACTAAAAAGCATCGATAGACATAAAGTTGTGTTTTAACAGCACACATGGTGTTTGGTTGGTCTGAGGTGTCATCTATTGAACTCGGAATCTAGTGAGGAGGGTAACTTTGGTTCAATATTTTATTAGTAAAATCAATTAATCAGTTTTACAATTAAATAACATGAATATTTTTTCATAACACTTCAGGACTTGTTTGTCTTGTGTCAGTGTCTTGAAAATAGTGCTACAGCGCCCTTTAGCTTTTTAATGTACAAATGTTTTTATTCAAAATAAATGTATTTTCCTGACAATAACAAGTTAAAAATTAATACGAAAACGATGAAAACTAATGTATTTATTAACCAAGAATATGACAATATGCGTAGTTTTGACATAGACTTCGGCAAGAAAGTGATTTTACTTCAGTTACGAAAAACTTTAACAAACAAACGTTGAAATTTTGCCTTATGTTAATTCTCAGTTTGTGCGAACTCACATCAGAAAATTTTCCTTAAACATGCCTAGACTATTCATTGGCATTCATTTTATGTAGTAGGTTATATAAATACACATCAAGAAATAATTTATAATTACAACCTAAATATGTATGATAACAACCGGTACTTTCGCAACGAAACTATTCTAATAACTATTTGATATTTGCGTAATGAATATATAAAATATCTATCCGTTTCAAATAACAAATGTGTTATAAGTGTTCCGATTTTCCGGCAATATGACTTATAATCTAAACTCTTATTACGTGCTTTTTAAAATCCAATTTTCTATGCTTGTTACGATAAAAGTCCATGTAAACTTTCATTGGAATCGATTATACTGTTACGAAGTGGTTTGGTAACACACATTTTAAGCCAGTCTTCTCGTTGTAACACAGATTATTTTGACTTAGATTCGTTATTATATGCGGAAGTTATATTTGCATAATAAAGTCACTAATAAAATCAATTCCGTTTATAGTAATACATAATAATACTTAATGTCGTTTTTTTATTAAGATCTAATTATTTCTTGTTTAGTTATTGCTGTCAAATATGTACTCGTATGTTTTGCATACGCTTATTTAAATAACTTCACGTCTTAGACTCATAGAAAAGCAGGAAATCAAGAGAAATATGCTAACACATGAAAAAATGTTTCGTTGGTCGTTCGCTTTGAACAGTAGATACCCATTCAAAACCATTCTTCTCTGGGGTTTATTTATTTGTTGCTTTACGTAATATATTTATTATTATGCACACAATTAGTAAACAATTCATAATACTCAGGTACTCTTGTTTATCATATCAATACAAGGCATAGACATTGTTAATGACAAACACATTTTTCGTGTCGTCATGTTCATCATCATTACACATAAAACGTAAATAAATGAATTCATTACTTAATGTATATATGCATTCATATTTAACATAATGTTTGTTGATATTATGTAAGAACAATGTGTACTTACTCACTTGTATACAAAAACATTTCCTAACAGATCAACTGTAATAATAAATTGAAATCATCATGTAGGACATTTGAAGTTGTAGTTAATATGAGGTTTATTTTTACTTTATTCTTAAAGCATTCATTATTTTTATAAACTATAAAATTTACTCGATCTTTAATGATATTGATTCTCCAAGATGCTGATTGCACGTGTGTGTATAGTTATTATTTTTCACGCATTCCCGATTAGTTTGAGGCATGACAGATTCATCAACATTTCAATTCCTATATTCCAAGATCACTCACAAACTAGGAACACTTTGAAACTAGGAACATTTTTACTCAAAAAATATTTCAAGGTGTGCAAAATTGGTTAATCCACTTCTCTACTAATAAAGTTAGCTTATAGATTTAAAATATGGGAAAAAATTGTCAAAAAAACAACGGAGAGCCTCTTTACGGAAGCAGGTCTGGTGTTAATGGATTGTAGAATCAGGTCTAAGAGGGTGATGCCACATGTTTCGCGGCGGGTAATGCAGGCCACAGGCGGCTATCGTCTGTTGATCAGGAATTCAAAGAATGCAGGAGTTCTTGGAGGCTTGGTGTAATGGCCCGCTTGTGACAGAACAAGGTTTTAGTTTGTTTAATTCCGAAAAAAATCATTTGACCGTTAGCTCCGTCGAAGTGGTCGAGGGTGTATGTAAGTAAAGAAGGGTCAAAAGAACATACAGCCTAGTAGATACATGTTAAATGTTCCACAATACTTCAGTTATAGGACTTATATTTTTATTAGCTGACCTGTGCAACTTGTTTTTGCAACGTTTTTCATTGAAACTCGACTCCAATTGGTCGTAGCATGATGTTATGTAGCCTATATTCTTCCTAAATCGAAGCGCTACCTAACACTAAAATATTTATTTAATTCGAACCAGTAGGACCTGAGATTACCCCGAACATACAAAGTCACAAACTTTACTTCTTTAGATATTAGAGACCTATTTCTTAGCATTCCATGGATTCATGCGCGTGCCGCGTCCATCGCGTGATAGATGGGGGCAGCAAATTGTACAAGCCTTTTCTGTAGCTTTTCCCCACCTTACTACCGCACTAGTCTGCTTTGAACGGGGATAGTTAAATGAAAGGCATTGAGGTAAAACTTTAATAAGGCAGGATACCAATCGTATAAAATATGCGCCATTTCAAAGCTGGTGGGATTCAAAATTCTCCTAGAGTTAACCATATATTTTACGGATTTAAATAAACTGTTTGCTCTTTAAGTTACTATGACCCATAAAAATTCTTTTGTCATAAAATCAAGAGATGTTTTGTTTGTCGAAATGTTTATTAGGTTTTTAGGAATATTCTACATATATAAAAATAATATACTCATTAAAAGCTTGAATGAAGTTGCCCATAATGACATTACGAAATTGTTTTAGTTTTTTTAAGATATGAACTAAATATTTATACCCAATTATATTATATAATACATTCTGAAATAATTTCATAGTCTAGGTAACACTCTTTTTAATAACAATAGGTAATTACCTATATTGGTAAAGAACTTGTTGTGTTTCTAAGAATGATTGTTTAAATTAGGTTACTGGATCTCTGGGAATGTCGGCATTTAAATCCGATATCAAATTGTTATGAATACCCATTAAAAATGAGTGGCTCTTAAATTTGATACTAAGTATCTTTATACACAAAATTTAGGTTCGACTATCCGTAATATTATCCAATAGAAATATAGCAGCAGTTGGATACTTGTAACCGTGATAGTATATCGTAAAATGTTAAGTCGAGGGAAGAGGACAGAAGCTGTTTTTAGTAATTCTTAAATGAAAATGATAAATTAACTTAATTTATTATACCACTAACCCCTATTGTTATATTAAAATATCGAATATACATACTTAAGTAAGCAGTGGGTGACATCGGCATCTTTCTATCTTTCGGTGGAGTGCTGTACACAAATGCAGGATTCACGCAGCCTCGTGATTGGTTCGGGCACATATCACTCTCCGAGCCCCTGCGCACGCGCTTATGGACCGTCAACTCTGAAATTGATTTCGCCGACTCGGATTTTCCCATCCCCTTCAGTTTCTTTTTCACTTTCTCGTGCTCTGGCGAATGTATGTGAAGAATCGCCGCCGCTTTCGGAGGTATTTTCTCGGGCACTATCAGTTCTTTTGATGACACACTTTTTTGTTTTTTGTTCGAGAACAAATCACTAAACTTTTTTTCCACTTTTTTAGGCCTTTGCGGCTTTAGAGTCAAGTCGATATCCCCACTCTTTCTTCTTTGTTTTGCATGCTCCGGTTTCCTCTTCGCCATTACTGGAGTCTTTGATTTGTACGTACCTTCAATACCCGTGTATGCTACGTCGTAGTCTTTCTCCGTCCAAATCTGCTTTGAGAAAAGTAGACTACTGTTCTGTATTTTTTCAATATCATTTGTTTCCTCGTCCTTAGACCGCCAGCGGTTGCCAATCAATCGAAGGGAAGCGCGGACGGACCTGGACCGTCGTAGACCACCCTGCTCCCTCTTGAATTTATCGATGAGGGTCTCCATAGCCCTGCAAGGGGTAGTGGGGCGAGCTGGGCCCTGAGCATTGCACGTCACGATCAACTACGCGCACTCTATTCACTAACTATAGTTACGCGAGTCGCTTCCTTCCCAACGACGTTCACTCGGTGCCGCGTCGGAGTGCCGAATGCGGTCTGCAACAACGTGGTAAATGGTAGGGTAAAACACAAGACCTCGCAGCAGCCCGGCCCGGAGCGACAAGCTCTTCTGATAAACACTGTTCTCATTTGCACAATCATTTGATAAGATATGATTGTTTGGCATACGCATTTCGCTAGACAGATTTGTTGTGACTTGAACTGAGATAAATTCCGAGGACGAATGTTAAATTGAAGAAAGGTGTTTGTTTGATAGTTAGTATTGATACGTTAATAACGTATGGTGCTTAAAGCGATTGGTTTATGTTATTACTAAAGTGAGTATGGTATTGGTATCTAATGTTGATTTTTTTAAATGTTATTACAATCAATAATTCCGTTATGATCGATCGTAATTTAAATTGATAGAAGTTCGTCATCCTTCTCGGACCGCCTCTCACGACTTTCGTATTTATAAATATTGGAATTAAAATGATTTTGTTTTGATACTAGATTATTTTACTTGTTAAGAAATGTTTGTGAATCATGTCATTAATATAGATCGTCATTGTTTTTAAGAATGACATTAAATATAAGTATATGGAACAATATGACATATCTTGTGCTGTTAAAGACAGTAAAATACAAGTAAAAAATAGAGTCCTAGGTTATATTTAAAGGACACAGTGCCACATTTTTTATTTTTTTTACACATCTCACAGACGGCTGTCTGATCCAAAACTAGGCAGAGCCTGTACTATGGTAACCAGAATGCTGATAAACATACTTATCTATTTCTAAATACATACATATTATAGATAAATTACACTCAGACACAGAACGAACGATCCTGCTCATCACACAAATATTTGTCTTGAGTGGCAATCGAATCCACAACCTCCGGCTTAGCAGTCAGGGTCACTAACTACTAGACAAACAGGCATGTCACATTAATTAATAGAAGAAAACTACTAGTCTAGCGAGAATGAAACAACAATTTAAATATTTTTTGATCTTTTTGTTTTTCCTTCCTTTTTATATTACTTGACACCGCGTCTGTAGAGACACGTTACTCAAAGAGGTGTGTGTTTTTGTTAGTCGGTTTGACATTGAGTTTGGTGAGATGTAAGCCGAATATTCCCTACATTCGAAAAGAAAAGTGGTAAACTTTTATTTTCTTCTGGCAACTCAGGTTACCTGTCAAATTTTAGGCCTCAGGCCTTTAGAAGCTCAAGAGAAAATCTCAGCTCAATTAAGTTTACCTAATTCTAACTTAATAACGACACAAAAGTTACTTAAGGACTTCGCTTGTAATTAGAAAACTCTTGCGTAGACAAAGTTTTATCTCCATTAATGACGCAAATCGAGCATGTGCACAACACAATAAACATCTCCGTTAAGACCTTGTCATCATTTGTTTGGTATAATTATTTAACCTGATATAGATTTAGGCAGTGTTGATAATGCGTAAGTGACGCTTTAGTTGTCCTCGCATGGTGGTAACCGCTTATCATCTGACGGGCTTACTTATTTGTTAATTATTATTGATTGATCACTTCTGTCGTTCTAGCAACAGCTACAATAAAATTAACCGCGTCTTCCGGCTGTTCTCAATGATTTAATTATTATTACTACATATAAATTTTCAAAGAACAGATAAATAAAAAAAAACACAGATTACAATTCTAAAATTTTGTCACGTCAAAAACGGATGTCCGAAGTGTTAAATCTGTAATTTGGAACGCGACGAATTCTAAATTTGAAATTGATTCTCAGTTTATTTTTCGTCCTCTCGTCGCTGTCAGATCTATCATCAAAATTTTACGAGTTGTTATTTTGTGAAAGTATGCCTACCAAAAACCAAATTAATTTTTTAAAAACACTATAAGATTTGTCTATTGTGGCAAGTAAGCAAAAATATTTTTATTACATTATAGCAAGTTTATGATCATACCCTAACATGCGCTATTGTTTATAATTATATAAGAAATACACACATTTATCTTTGTGAAAATGGGTTATACTTTTCTGCGAAATAACTAAGTATGAAATTGTATTTAAAAATCAACAAAGAATTGCTTTTGGTTAAAGAATTGCTCCTGGGTAAATATAAAGCTGGTTTTTATGAAAAAGAAAGGATGATAATTTACTGAGACGTAAATATAACATATTTGTTAAAATTTTGAGATAATGTCAAGCGTGAACAGTTCTCACAAGTTGGGCTGAAGGGTGCGTTTCCACTGATGCGGAGCTGGAGCGGAGCGGACTAAGAATTGGCCAATCACAGTGCTCAAAATCAGTGAAACTGTGTAAGTGGAGCAGAGCGGACTGTCAAATAACATACAAGCACACGTGGCCCCGAGCTGGATGGAACGGAGTCGAGCGGGCTGTGGTGCGGAGCGAAGGCACGAAGCGGAGGGTAGCTGGACTGTTTTCTTTTTGTATCCAAATAATATGTGGCATTCAGTTCTACTTCATCTGCTTCCGATGATTTCATCTTCTAGTAAAAAAAGATGTAATAGTCTTTAAAGTAAAACTCTTTTCTCTACCGACAACATGACGTATGATCTCTCCAAGAGATTGAATTTGACTGATCGGGACACGGCTCAATGCAGCTTTGGTCTGCTCAGCTCAACTCCACTCCGTTTCAATGGAAACACTCACCACTTTTCACTGCTCCTCTCCGCTCCACTCCGCCCAGCACCGCGTCACTGGAAACGCACCCTAAGTCGTGTGTGACGCATACACCGACGATCCCTCCAGCCGCCATCGAAACTGATGGTTCGTAACTAGTAGTTGAGGAGGTGGAAAAGATGATATTTGTACGAAACCAGTTTCGAACCAGGTGTTTTTTACTTAACCAGTTTCGTATTTTACAGTTTTTCTTTTACGGGACAAACGGGTTTTATAGGTAATGTCAAGCTGACATTTACAATAAAATGTCCTAATGTCATCAACTCGGCTGAATTTCCCAGAATTTCCAAATCGCAAGGAGTTACTTACTGTTACATGTTTTTTTTTTTTTTTTTTTTTTTTTTTTTTTACGTGTGGAAATCCCCTCGGACCGTCACCCCTCCGGGGTTTGCGGCGGGGTGGTGTGTCGGACTCGGACCGACTAAGACCACACGGTGTGCCACTCTGCGCCTGTAACAGGAGGGATCCGGGAACAGCTGTTGTTAAGACATCCGGACCCCTCCTAGCGCCAGCCCGCTCCTGGTGCGGGCTCCGTCTCATTGTAGATGTTCCTCTCTTTAGGCGACGTCCGGCACACGCGGACGCCGCCCCCTCGCGGCTGGCCAACTAATGCGGGTGGAGGGGAAACCCACCCCGTCCACCCGCGGCCACACTCAGGGCGGCATGAGGCTGTGGTAGGCGGGCCTCCGCCGCCCGGTTCGCCGGCGGCGGATCGGGTCCGAGTGGAGGTCGTCCTCCCGGGCCCTCTCCGCCGCCTCCTTCCGCGAGATTACTACCTCGCAGAAGGTTGCGACCGCGGTAAAAACAACTGTCGCTACCGGCCATGGAGCGTACTACGGCCGGTAGCGAGAGATCCACTCCGATGACTGCAGTGAGGGCCCGGCGCTGCGCCGCCCATGCGGGGCAGACCGCCAGCGTGTGCTGGGCCGAGTCCTCACTGCAATCGCAGTGGTGGCAGGCGGGACTCAGTTCCCTCCTAGCGACCGTGTGCAGGTACTTTCCGAAGCAACCGTGCCCGGAAAGCACCTGCGTCAGTCGGAAGGAAAGGGTCCCGTGCTGCCGCCCTGCCCACTCGGCGATGACCGGCTGGAGAGCCTCCACGGCGGCAAAGCCAGCGCGTGGAGTCTCCAGCCGGAACGACCAACGAGCCATCGTGGCTCGGCGAGCGGCTTCGCGCCACTCGCGCACATCCTCGGGCGGAGGGCGAAATCCGCTCTCCGCCCGGAAGTCAGCCACTCGCCGATAAACTTCGGCGAGCACTTCCGCCTCCAAATCCCACGGGGGAGTTCCGGCCAATGCGCATGCCACCTCCGTCGAAACGGTGCGGTAACCGCGTATGGCTCTGACCGCCATTACCCTCTGAGGGCGCCAGAGGCGTACCCTATTCTGGGCGGTCAGAGCCGCCGCCCACACCGGTGCACCGTACAGTGCCATTGACCGGACAGCCCCCGTGTACAGCCGTCTTGTCGCGACGCTGGGTCCACCCATATTGGGCAAGAGTCGCCCTAGGGCAGACGCAGCGCCGACCAGCTTTGGAGCAAGCTGTCGGAAGTGCTCGTCGAAGAGCCACCTCCCGTCGAGGATCAGGCCCAGATATTTCATCTGGGCCCGAACCGGTACGAGGACCGAGTTGACCACGATGGAGGCGCCAGGGGGTGGACCACGACGGGGCCCATGGAATAACAGGGCCTCCGTCTTATCTAGGGCCACCCGTAAGCCCAGCGCCTCAATGCGCCCGACCACCAGGGAGACTCCCCCTGTGGCCAAGCGCGCCGCCTCTTGGAAGTTTGCCCCCCGGGCTGTCACGAGGGTATCGTCTGCGTAACAGATTACACCCAGCCCGGGGGGGAAATCGGCGCGAAGGGCCCAGTCGTACCCTATGTTCCACAAGAGGGGTCCAAGAACAGACCCCTGTGGAACACCGCACGACATGGGCCGACTCCTCAAATTACCTTCTCGGTCCTCGTACACGACGGTACGCTCCTCTAAGTAGTCTGCCACTAGCCGCCTCAGGTACTTTGGCACCCCATGATAGTGGAGTGCTTCCCTGATGCAGCTGAATGGCAGACTATTGAATGCGTTGGCGATGTCTAATGACACCGCCAACAGCACGCCGCCACAGCTCACTGCCTCTTCGGTCACGGCCCTCAGGCGCAACACGGCGTCGACCGTCGAACGCCCCGCCCGAAAACCAAATTGGGCGTCCGACAGATC